GGTGGCTCAGCCTGTCATCCTGCGCTTTGGGAGGCTGAGGTGAGTGGACTGCCTGAGTCCGCAGGTTCAAGACCTGCCTGGGCAACTTGGCAAGACCTCTCTACAATAAATCAAAAAATTAGCCGGGCATGGTAGTGCGCGCCTGTAGTTCCAGCTATTTGGAAGGCTGAGGCAGAAGAATCGCCGGAGCCCAGCAGGTCGAGGCTGCGGTGGCTGGGAGCGTGCCACTGCACTCGTCTGGGCGACAGAGTGAGACTCCAACTCAAAAAAAAAAAAAAAAACAAACAACAACAAAAAAACAATATGGTGCAATTTGAGTATTAAAAGAAATAATAATCATAAAGGGTTCTATCCCACTGATTAATCTCAGAATTCACAATTATGTAAATAAATGAGTAGATAAATAAATTAATTTTAAAATAGGAAAGAAGAAAAAGCTCTTTATTATAATAGAATACCAAGTAATAAATGAGGGAGGCATGATGAAATAAGAAAAACTGGCAAACATCACGGTTAATTGTTGCAGGCAAGAATGGATGCCAAAACTGAATGTGTGAAAGCTAGATAGGATATTTAAATAACTTTAAAGTATCTTCTCAAAGATATTTATTACAAAGGGGAAAATTTCACCAGGGAAAAAACCAGCAGATACCACATTACACATGTGATCAAAATTAACATCACAAGTAAAGGGACAAAGCTATAAATATCATGAATCTTTTGATCTACGCACTGAGGAGGACACAATGTCACTTCAATGGTCCTGCCAAAATGCATGACCTGAATGGAATACTAAGGAAACATTAACTAAAGTCAAACTGATACATTATACAAAATAACTGACCAGTACTCTTCAAAAGTGTCAGCATCAAGAAAAAGATGGCCGGGCGCAGTGGCTTAGCCTTTAATCCCAGCACTTTGGGAGGCCGAGGCGAGAGGACTGCCTGACACCATAGGTTCAAGACCAGCCTGGGCAACATGGTGAGATCTTGTCTCTACAATAAATCAAAAATTAACTGGGCATGGTGGCACATGCCTGTAGTTCCGGCTACATGGAAGGCTGAGGCAGAAGGCTCTCCTGAGCCCAGCAGGTTGTGGCTGCGGTGGCCATGAGCAGTGTGCCACTGCACTCTAGCCTGGGCTGAGACTCTGACTCAAAAAAAGAAAGAAAAAAAAAAAAGACTGAGGACCCAATCTAGATTAAAGAAAACTAAGGAGAGATATTATTGTATCAATGTTAATTTTGTATTTTTGATCATTTTAGTGTAGTTATGTAAAATATGAGCCTTGATTTTAGAAAATAAACACTAAAGTTTTAGCCATGAAGGGAAATCATGTCTGCAACTCTTAAACAGTTAAAAAAATTATGTATGTATATATACACACACACATATACAAAGAAAGATAAAACAAAACAAATGTAGTGAAATGATAACATTTGGTGAATCTAGGTGAGAGATATATGGGAGTTCTTTGTACTGTTCTTAACATTTTTTGTGTAAGTCTAAAATTATGTCAAAATAAACTTACAAGGAAAAAATGGCAACAGTCACAAAAAAGTTGCTAAAAAAAGTTGCTAAATTCTGCAGCTTTCTGTTCCATGTTACAAGCTACTGAGGAATCTGTTTCTCAGAAAACTCAAGTGTGTCTGCTAGAAATAGATATCTGTTATTAGAAGTGATACAGGGAGCAGCAAGTTCCTAGGAGGTGGTAGCCCCTGGGAAATGTGGATGATTTCCATTATAATCTGCTTATCCATCACCAAGGCTAAATTAAATGGAAAACTCTTGTTTAAAGATGTAACTCTAAAAATAGTACTCTCAATTATTTGAATTATAGTATCTAACCCCAACACAATTTGATAGACAGCTCAGCATCAATTAGGAATTTCAATTTTGTTAAAACAGTGACTGATTACAAAGGGATTAAGATAAAATTTTACAGATGGGGAAAAAGTTAACCTTTAAATTTTTCATCATATTGTTTTGCAAATAGAAACATCTGGTCACATCTAAATCCCTTACATCAATGCTATCATCAATTTTAAGAATTATTTGATCACAATGGGAAAAAGTATTTTTCCGTGGAAAAATAACGTTTGATCCAGTTTCTGGACCAAATGCAAATAATTACACCAAACTCTGTGTACTGACCACTGAGATACTCAAGGATGAGGTAGAGTTTTCCACCAGTCTGAAAGGCATAAATTAAATCCACAATGAAGGGATGCTTTACTTCCTCCAAAATATTCCGCTCTGCTTTTGTATGAGCTGTATCTTTAGCATTTCTTACTATCATTGCCTAAAGGAAAAGAGACGATCTATAAGAACAAAATCATAAACATTTTTATTCTATAGTAAATGGAAAATCGATTTTTGCTTTTCTTGCCAGTACTGAACTATTTATCATGGTTCTCCACTAGAATTTGAGATGGGGTAATGGAAGAGGTTCACTTTTTATACATCTCTGCACTGTTTGGATTTTTTGCAGTGAACATGTAAATGAAAAACCAAAGATACATTTTTTTAAAAACCTGTAATCAGAACAAGTTTATTTATATATTCACTGACAGTTGAGTGTCTACCATGCTCCAGGCTGTGCCCAAAAAAGCAGAAGTAATAGAAGGAATGTTCTGTTGATAGAAGCCCAAAGTTTCAGGAAAAAAATGACAAGTCAATGAAAGTAAACACAGGATGCCAAAGGTAAACAGGGGAACTGCATATGACCTGGCAAGAAGTCCTCCTGGAGGTAGTGATCAACCTAAACTGTATCTTGAAAGTTATTTACATGAAATGTGGAAGGTAAAAAAGTCATTCTGGTGCAAAAGAGGTTTGACAGGACAGGACATGCCTGGGTAATATTCAAGTAGTTCAGGTATAATTAGAAGTGGTTAGAGATTAGGTTGGAGAAGCGGGCAGAGACCAGGAAATGGAAGGCCTGGGCATCTAGGCAAAAACACTGGAATCTTATCTTAGAGGCAAAGAAGAAATGTTGAGATGAGTGAAATGAACAAACTTTTGACTTTAAGAAAGACACTTCTATAGTAGCAGTGTGGAGTTTTTCAGGAAGAAATGAGACTAATTAGGAAACTAGTACAATAAACTAAGTAAGAAGATATGTAACTAAAAAATGAAGGTTAAAAAAAATTGAAAGGCCAAGGGCACCTCATTTGCACTTGCTGACTAACTAGATATGAGAAGAAATGGTGACATCCTTACTTCTGTTTAAGTAATAGAACGGACAATGGTGCCAGTCAATAAAAGGGAATGGAAGTGAAAAAAAAATTTTTGTAAAAATGATGCACTGTTTTAGACATGCTAATTCCAAGTTCTAGGAGGTTACCCTGATGGTATACCTCTACTAACGTGGAAGCAAATATACAAAGTTATTAGTTATGACATTATCTGTGAAAGTGAAACTCTGGAAACAACCGAAATGCCCATACATAGGATACTGGCTAGAAACCTATGGAATTTATAAAATGTGTGATAGCAAAGCTATAAAAAGAATAAAAAATATCTCTATGAAAGAAAAGTGCAAACGAGCATTTAAAGTACAACAGCATGTACAGGATGCTATCTCTTGTATAAGAAAGGGGGAATGAGACTATGCATATCTGCTTATATCTGTAAAAATGCACATAACTAAGATTAAAACAAAAGCTAATGAAAATGAAAGAATAGAAAAAGGAGTACCACTTTTGAGTATATCTTCTGAGTAAAATCTCAATGGTTTTATTTTCCATTTTTTTCTTGCCTAAATCAAAGATAATTATTATAAGATGCAGATTTTGATTTCTGAATCATACTATTTTATACATTCCAAAAATAAAATGAAATCAACAATAGAAATACATACATATAATTGAATATTACATTTATACCTTCACCACAGAAGGAGAAAAAAGATATTTAAGTAACTTTGGACTGCATACTCTTGATGGCCTATATAGAAGCATTAAAAAATTGGAAAGAAATCTTAATCAACACTTAGTAGGTTTGTAGTTAGTAGTAGTATTGGTATTATCATTCTCAAACTATTATGTATGTATTATACAAATGAACAAACCAGTACATTTATTGATGTTGTTACCAGGGTTCTTCACTGTGGAAGACAGAAAATCCAGATATGGACTGAGGACTGGGCACAGTGGCTCACACCTGTAATCCCAGCACTTTGGGAAGCCAAAGTAGAAGGATTGCTTGAGCCCAGAAGTTCAAGATCAGCCTGGACAACATAGCAAAATTCAGTATGTATTTTTAAAAAACCAACATGCAAACAAATATGGACTAAGGGAAGAAGAACCCTATGGAATTGGGCTGGAATTAGGGCTATCAATATGAAGCCATGATTTAAACCAAAAACAATAACTTCCTAGCTCTGACCACTGAAAGAGCTAGAAACAACGACAGCTTAGTAGCAAGGAGTATAGCTAACACCCAGCTATGAGTTTGCAAATACCATTCTTTACCCCGGTTTCTTGGAGAAATGGATGATTCTAGGTCAGAGTCAGGAAAAGTACAAGACATATCTGGAATACTCTATTCCTACTAGAAAGTAAGGTAGTACTCAAAAATTGATGAGGATATTTTAAAAGCATGAAGAAGTCATCTTAATGGGACTCTCAGTAGCAAACTTGGAACAATTTGAGAATAAAAGTAAATAATGACAGAAATGGATAATACATTGAGGCAAAAGATGTCTGTACTTTTTTTATTTTTTTTTAGAAAGCAGGATTTAATTGAGAAGACAGGAAAGTTTTCAGTGGGAGGGGACCCAAGGAGGTTGCCCTTGTTTTGTTTTAAGAGATGCTGTCTTGCGATGTTACTCAAACTGTTTTCAAACTCCTCGGCTCAAGTAGTAATCCTACCTCAGCCTCTTGAGTAGCCAAGACTGCAGATGTGTACCCTGGCTCGAGTCATATGATTCTTTCTTTTTTTGAGTTGGAGTCTCACTCTGTCACCCAGCTGGAGAACAGTGGCATGATCATGGCTCATTGCAGCCTCGACCTTCTGAGCTCAGGTGATCTTTCTACCTCAACCTCCCAAGTAGCTAGGACAACAGGTGCGTGCCACCACATTCACCTAATTTTTCTGACTTTTTTGTAGAGATGAAGTCTTGCTGTGCTGCCCAGACTGGTCTAGAACTTCTGGCCTCAAGCAGTCCTCCTGCCTCAGCCTCCCAAAGTGCTGGGATTACAGGCGTGAACCACTGCACCCAGCCCCATATGATTATTTTAAAAGAACTTTTAAAAGGGAGTATAAAAAGTCTCTATTTTGTAATCAATATAGTAATATTTGATTTGGGTAAACAAACAATGGATGATAAAACCATAAAGTAAAAAGTTACTAGCAGATAGGATATTCACAGTTTATAACTATCATTCCACAAATCACTGATTAGTTACAAAAGGAAAAAGGTACCTGTATGATGAAAAATCTGGTGGGCAACATCTTAACCAAGTGATTAAATTCAATCTCACTAAATAATGGGATGGTCTGACAATAATGTGCCTCCTGAGCCCATGCTCTGAGAACATATGGCACCTATGTAACCCTCTTGCAAGTGTTTCACCTATTTAAAATTTAAAAGTATTTTCATGAGGAAACAATGAAACAAACCCAAATCAATGTGGACTCAAGTTCAGAAGAGGCACAGAGGGTAGTAGCTACTTGGAGACCTCAAGTGAAAGTTTTATTGAGATGAATACGGTAGAGGCACAAATATATTTACATAAAGAAAGAAGTCAGGATCGAAAATGAAAAGAGAAAAGACAAATGAAGTCCCTGAATAGGCAGAAAGAGATGGTATCTAGAACATAGAGAAGAATTAGCCTTAGAAAGGACAACTGCACTAAGACTGGAGAATAGGAAATAAAGTCAGGTAAAAATGCAGATTAGCCTGGGCTCGGTGGCTCAGCCTATACTCCTGTGCTTTAGGAGGCCGAGGTGAGTGGATTGCCTGAGCCGGCAGGTTCGAGACCCGCCTGGGCAACTTGGCAAGACCTCATCTCTACAATAAATCAAAAATTAGCCAGGCGTGGTAGCACGCGCCTGTAGTTCCAGCTACTTGGAAGGCTGAGGCAGAAGGATCGCCGTAGCCCATCAGGACGAGGCTGCGGTGGCCGGGAGTGGCCACTGCGCTCCAGTCTGGGCGACAGAGTGAGACTCCAACTCAAAAAAAAAGATTGTCAAAGGGGAACCAGGAAAGGAGAGCAGGCATGAAAAAGACTCGAGTATAACATAACCCAACTGGTCAAAGTTTACCAGGAGACTAATGTTACAGTAATACAGCAGAATGTTTTGTTTTGTTTTGTTTTGTTTTTGAGTTGGAGTCTCACTCTGTCGCCCAGACTGGAGCGCAGTGGCCACTCCCGGCCACCGCAGCCTCGTCCTGCTGGGCTACGGCGATCCTTCTGCCTCAGCCTTCCAAGGAGCTGGAACTACAGGCGCGTGCTACCACGCCTGGCTGATTTTTTTAAATTATTGTAGAGATGAGGTCTCGCCAAGTTGCCCAGGCGGGTCTCGAACCCGTGGGTTTAGGCAATCCACTCACCTCAGCCTCCCAAAGCGCTGGGATTACAAGCTGAGCCACCGAACCCGTCTTATAATTTATTTTTTTTACATGATTCTCATCTCAAATCTTACATGATTGATTGCACAGAGATGCAAACGTTTCTAAATGCTAAAGGAAAACTCCTTTAGTCCAGGTACCATAGCTTGACTTCCCATTAATCTCACTGATAGATGCATTTCTGATAAAATTTTTACTTTCTCATTTTTTTAATGTTCAATTATAATAATGTATACCACTGCCCTAAAAAATTGCTTACTACTAATAATTGTTATAATAACTAATTCTAGATAAATTTT